GAAATTTTGATCGGTAGGAATCGGACGATTTGGCCTTTGACAATTGGTCGTTGGATAGATTGGCTTGGAATAATGACACTGCTGTTTCTGTGTTTTCGAGGGAAACAGGTTTCGCGAGATGTTCTTGGATTAATAGTGTTAATATTGCAATTATGAATATTCATGATTAATCAAATGAATATAATTATTCGTAATGTTATTCATATTATTGGTGACAATGAAATAGTAACGATGTTGATCATATTAATTATTCATTGTAAATATTCGTAATTGTGATATTGGTGTTCAATTAATTTTAGCTCGCTGTTGTTCCGAGCCACTCGATCGTTATTCAATTTTTCATTCACAATTCTAGTACTGTAACAAAATTCTTGTCTTTCCGAACGAAACCGCGACAGAAACTGTGCACGTTTATACCCTTCGCTGGGACGATAGTTTCTCTAATATTATCGAAATTTATAGATACAACGTACGAATGAAATTTTCCGTCGAGGATATTAGGAGTTTTGAAATTGAATCTTTCGATTGTTAAGTATTCTATATTGTTTTCGATGACGTGTATGATATCGTATTTAATGCAGCGTGCCAGAGACCACGCATCTCGCCCCTCTTTTCCGACAATCTTCAAATTTCCGTTGCTCGACGAAGGTGCAGCTCGGTCCTGAAAAGAAGTGTTCATTTTTCGAGAATCCACTGTGTGGAGGAAGTACATGACCAGACTGCGGATGTTTCTGTAACCTTTCACCTTGTAACATTTTCACAGATCCATTTTCGATGAAAATTTCGTTCGTCGAGAGGCGACCCATTAGATGTAGTAAAAAGTTCCATCCGATTCCTCGGTGAAATCAACGTTTTCTTTCAGATAACGTACAAATATTTAATCGTTAATATTGGATGATTAATCGTTATTCATTATCAATATTAGACAATTAATAACTAATTGTCAATATCAGACAATTATTCATTAATTATCAATATTAGGCAGTTAATCATGATTAACTATCGATATTAGACAATTACTCCTAAATAATTGTCAATATTCGATCCTTAATATTAATACCGATTAATTATCCGATGCAACCTGCATTGTTCATACTATTCCGCCATTTTTCTGGAATCCTCCGAATACCATCCCTATAAAACTTCGTTGGCTGCGACGAAACGAAACTGTCCAGCCAAGTAAAGCTTGTACTGAAGAACTTTTTACTGCAGCTAATATTCATTGATTTTCAAACAGTTCAATCGCAAACGGTGTCTTTCAGCCATGCGAAAGTTAGACTATACAGAAGTTTGGACTTCGTTCGATTCACAGGATGCCCAGAACGCATGGACGTCCGCAGTCGGCGCATAACATAACTTGTATCACTCACGCAGAGGCGAGTGACGAATTTTCGGGGTCCCTGGACGTGTTTTCGCTTGGCCACGCGAATAATCGAGGGAAACGGATACGTACAAACAATGGATAATCAATAATAAACAGTTTCTGCGTAAATGATATTTTCACGAATCAAGACAATATTCTAATAATAACGGAAAATCTTTTCGACTGTCATTTCTGTGTTTATTTCAGTAAATTCGCTCAACCTTTTCGGTATTATTGGTTCACAATTAACGGCAGAGTGTCTAACGATCGCATAAGCATAATAGATCTCGCAAATTAATTCTAATGGCTGTATTAATAATATTACCAACGCATTTCTATAGAAATCAGATGATACAAATACAGCACACGATAAAATCGAAAGGTTATCAATTACAAATGCATATTTGTTTGACATACAATCAGTCAAAAGCGCGGTTCGCGTCACACGTGTCGGGATAAATCGACACTCGGCCATATCGAACATCTGCCGGCCATTGATTGTTGCTGGTAATTCCACTGAAAGGGTTAATGACTATCAAATGAATAATTCGAGGAAAAACGAAGTTAATCGTCCCAGAATTGATCGTAGACTTGCGCTCAGAGATTCTTATAATCGTCATCGAAATTCGGAAACTGAAATGTTTAAAGTGGAGCACGAACATTGAAAATCGTTCCCTTGTTACGAGAGATGCTCAGAACAGTAAAAAAAAATACTTCAGGCAACGTGACAGTCTGCAGTATGAAAACGGACGATCTATCGATCAATCCCATGATACAAAAATCACATAGGATCCCGACAGTTCGCGTTCGCCGCTGCCCGGAGAACGAACTTCCGGTCGCTGAACGGCCGCGGCCGGAGCCAGATGGATCGTGGTATCGCGTACTCGACCTGTATTTTTTTAAATAAAAAAATCCCAAAAAACAAGACAACCATACAGCAACAACGGTTCAATTTTGTGCCCAGCGTAGCTGCTCGAGGGGAACGAAAGTAACGAAGCGCACGCGAGGGAATGGGAAAACAGAGAAGGGGACAATTAATTAATCCATTGCCGCGTTATTTATTTTACGACCGTGCTCGTAACTGTTTCATTTATTGCAAATGATTTCCTATGGAAAGAAACTGTATTCATTTTAGATATTTATCTATCCTCCTTTAAACATTGAATATTTCAATCGGAATTCTACAATTGTAATAATTTATAATTACTGTACAGTTTCGACTATTCGAAGTTAACCCTTTGCACTCGAAAATCTTTTCGCTGCGTACAATCATTATTTTTTAGTAAAATATTGATTGGACCATCGATTCTATTGAGTAGAGATAACACGACTAATCAATGGATCGAGCAAAGGGTTGAAATTGAGATTCTGAAGTTAATTTGAAATGATTGTTTTAAGAAACATTCTTCTTTTCCGTCGACGGGAATGAGGAATATTTATATTTACTGAGTTCTTACAATTGTCGGTAGTTTTTCCTAAAATACTTCCGAGAGTCTTGTATGCATTGTTCTTTTTCCTCGGATAAAATAGTACTTCGTATTGCGTCTCTGCAGTTTAGCCGAACGGATTTCCGATTTGTATTCGTTCCGCGCGTTCGTCGACGAGGTGAAACGGACGAACGAAACAAAAGAGACTCTGGTTCAGCCCCCTTGTCTCTCCTTGTCGTAACTATTGCTGTTTTTTTCACCTGCTCTTTTGTTTATTCCCTTTTCTTCCCGTTTCTTCCCTGCGTTCCCCTTTTTTCCATTTGGCAGAGTCGTCGCAGCGAGGAACAATTTTCAGGTTCGACGTAGATCGAAACGCAGTGTGCATTTTGTTTTTGAAACGAGATTCGACTTCAACTTTTAGAGGATCGAACGTTTCTCTATAAAAATACTGTTTCCTTTTATTTTTATTCTCTTGTTTTCTCCCGTTGGATAATGAAGCATAGATTAGCAATCGAGGCGTGAAGGACCAACCCTTCGCACGTTATATTTCCGAGTTTTCACGATCTTTTAATATTCTTTCGTTACCTCGTCAACTTTCAAATGGTACTTCGAAAATAAATCGAAAACTAATCCGCGGAGTTCGCAGAGTACTCCACTTACAGAATATTCCCCGCGAGTATATCTAACAAATAATCAGAATTATCCAATTATGTTTCACTAGATTTATTTCTAAATTAATAGAAAGAAATTCTTATAGTAATTCAATAGTAACATTCAACGCACGAATAAAAAATCTTATTTCTTTTATCACACGAAAGTAAATCTTGATCCTATTAAACACAGAAATTCAGTATTTCTGTATTCCTAATTCGACAAATTTCTAAATTTCATCGACTGAAGAGTATCAACATTTAACGCACCGAACGAAACACTCATGCTCCACATCGATCCTCGAGTACGAACAGAATAGATTAATTTCTGCATGTTCGACGCCCTTCAGACCCAAAGAAAACTAGTAGTGCAAACAAACGATAACTGTACAAACACGGAACACTTTTCCTGCGGCAGTGTTTCTCAATTCTCGTTCCATGAATCTAACGGTGAAGTTATCGTTAGTCATCGAGCCACGATCATTCCTAATGACTTTACCGCGACGACGATTCAACGGCGGCGACGTAGAGTCAGCCTAGAATCATTCGAACGCGGAACACTAGCGGCAGTATACACACGCGCGCGCTAGGTAATCAATGTTTAACGTGGTCGGAGGCGTAAATGATTCTTGCCGGGCAGGCCATAAACCAGCGCCGTGGAAACGGCAGCCATTATCTGATCGGTTTGTGTACGGAAGCGAGCGAATGATTCATGCCGCTCCACGGTGCGGCCGAACGACCGTTTTCTGGTTAAAACTCAATAACTTAGAAAGCATAAGTGATAGAAAAAAATGCTTCCGACAGAGGTATTAAGGTATCAAGCTAAATTTATGGTGGTCATATTTCTTTTTACATTAGGGGGATATTACGAAGTTTTTTCAGTGACAATAGACATTTTGCGTTTCGATGCCAACGTTGTATAAATAGAGAAACGGGATTTATTCGTAAAAATTGTTACTTTTTAAATGAAAATCATTTTGTATAGCACGGTCCACTTACCAACATATTAGTAACCTTCAATTTTCGTTACGTGAGTGGTAGAATTTGAAGATTTTGTCCACAGTGCGTCCAAACGACGGTTCTCTGGACAAAACTCAATAACTTAAAAAGTATTACTGATACAAAAAAAGGCTTCAGACAAAAGTTGTAAGTTATCAAGCTAAGCTTATGGTGATTATATTTCTTTTTACATTAGGGGGATATTACGAAGTTTTTTCAGTGACAATGTACATTTTACCTTTCGATTCCAACGTTGAGTAAATAGAGAAACAGAATCTATTTGTATAAAATCGTTATTTTTTAAATGAAAATCATTTTGTATAGCACGGTCCACTTACCAACATATTGGTAACCTTCAATGTTGGTTACGTGGATAGTCGAATTTAGGGGTTTTGTCCACAAACAGCCGCACTGTGCGCTCGGTCGTTAGGCGACCGTGTTACGAGCGGCACGAATTATTCGCGCGTCGTCTGCTCCGATTAGAAGCTACCACGATTATTTCTTATCGCCGCACGCCCGAGGCACTCTACGTAATACGTTTCACAATCAGTCACACCGTGGGCACGGAGGAAGCCGGACACTCGCAGTCCGCCGCGCTCGGTGAAATTGTAACGACGCGGTCGAACGATTCTTTGTGATGATCGGAATCTCGTTTCGAGAATTCGTGAAGCAACGCTCGCTTTACTCGCAACGCGGGTTTCTGGGAAAACATTATTCACCGCGGTTTTATCGGAGTGACTGACGTGTGCTTTGGAAATTTCTTTCGAAGTGGAAATTCGTGTTCCCTTGAGATCTCCGGTGCTCGAATCGATTGAAGTGGCTCGAGAGGTAATGGAATGATTATCGAAGTTTTCAGGATTATTTGATTTGTGATTAAGTTCCGATTGCTTCTGCTGTTTCGTGGTCTCGTGTATTAGTTTGGGGAAAATAACACAGTTATATAGTTTCGAACTGAAGAATTTTGTGTTGAAGACGGTGGAAGAAGTTTGGTTATCCTTTTATTGAAACTTTGTGCTTCAATTTTGAGTCCTGAAAAGTGTTTTAGCTCGACGGGAATAAAATGTGAGGAATATTTGATTTTTAATTGAAGAACGTTGGCGAGGATAATCGTAAAAATTTAGTGGTTTTTGGTACTTGGCGCTTAAACTTTGAAGTGTGGAAAATGTTTTATGAAATGCGTCTTTTTATTTAGACTGTCAGTAATTGCACGTATTTCTGAGGGTCTTATTTAACAGTAAGTCAGTGGATTATCGTCTCCCTTGTTATTTAAGTGATAAGCATATCCGATTATCTGTAAATTGGTCATCGATCAGTATCATAAATCGGTTGCTTGTATTACTACGTCTAATCGCGTTTGACAGAGAGGTAATATCTTTCTTGTTAAAAGTGGATAGGAAATACTTGTGTAAAGAGAGTTTAAGTACAGTCCAACTGAAACAATTACGTAAACACGAAAATCTTCGTTTCCCCCTTGATTTTCGTCTTCCAAAGTCAGACCATAAAAGCATGAGTCTGCATACTTATATTTGTCGGTAACTTCTCTGTGAGAAGTCTCGTTTCTCGAGCTAGCAAGAGCATTCTACAACTCCCCGGAATCTGTCACAAATTAACACTATTTCTACCGAAGGTGTCAAAAGACACCTTTGGAATTCTTCAATTAAAATTACTCTCCGAGTTTAGTCATACATTCTGAATCGACTATTCGACTTTTCCAGTAACGGTTATAAAATAAATTATGTAAATTGTCCAAAATTCAATTGACGACAAACAAGTTTAACTAGGAAAATAATTTTAAGCAAGAATTTCAGGTGTCTTTTGACACCTTCGATAGAAACCACTTCCCTCGTCCCGACGCGAACTAGCAGCCATCCTTTCGCAGTCCATTAAAAATCGAATAGAAGCGATAGGTTGAGAGACACTGTTTCAAAACCTGTCCCAGAACAGTCGAAAAATCCCCAAACTCTCCAGGCTCAGATTAAAAGAAGAAAGATCAAACGACAATTATTTCAAAAAATCTGCAACCCTCCGAAGCCTAAACAAAACTCCACCCCTATACACTGAAAACCATCATCTCTCCTCATTCTGAACTGCGCTGTACCCTCAGGTGACCCCGTCAATGACACCGTCACGCCTGACGCTGGAGAAAAACAAAGTGCCATCAGCGACCCCAAGAAAGAAGATCGGCGAGGGTAGCGTCGGCAACATAGAAAGGGGGTAGGGACAGCGAAAGACGAAGCACCGACAATAGCAAGAGAGAGCAAGAGGACTGGGAAGAGCATAACAAAAAACGCAGTATATAACAGAGGTGGAAGGGGTAGCGCAGGAAAAAAGCAACGGCAACTGTATAGACAAAGAGGGGTAGGAAGGGCGGCAGAAAAAAATGCAACCCAGCGGAACAGAGAAGGAGAATTAGCAAGAGCGAACGGAAATATGCAACCTATCGAGACAGAGAAAGAGGGGTAGCAAGGGCGAGAGGGGAAAAGAGCGCCGGCAGCCGGACGGAGACAGAAAGACGCGGACAGGGGGTGGGAAATCATCTTCGTGGGACGATAACAGCGAGCTTCAGCTAAGAGGAGGGTGACCGGAGCAGTTTGCGCGTGTCCGTGGCGCGGCTCGCGGCTCTGCGTGGTGCTGTTCGCCGCAGCCAACCGCGTGGAAGGTGGGTTGGCTGGCCAACCCCGCGGGTGTCGCGGGGATTCCCCGTACGCGGCCACCGTAACACGATCCAGTGTTGCTCGTCCACCTCGCCGCGGAGGTTCGCCGTGGACCACGCTGGGAAAATGTGCGGCCGCCAGGTGCGTCCCCGACGTAAGTAGAAACGCAGCGAAAGGCGACGTTCCTTCTTGACGCGACGCGTACACGAATTCGCGCGCGCGGAGTCGCGGAGACGTATCGAAACGGTCGTTCCTGGCTCTCGGAGGTCTCGTGGGCGGAGGGCCGACGATCGATCCGCCGGCTCGGCCGCACCGGGAGATACTCCTCCGTGGAAAAACACCGGAACGCACGCCAGTTCAGGGAGCGTACGTCGGCAACCTAACCCCCAGCCGGCGGTTAGGTTAGGTGATTCTCTACGTTCTTGGGGGGCGGCGAGCGGTCGATGCGTGCGGGAAACGCCTATCGGCGGCCGCTGGCCGTGCTTACTGAATGGGCGTGGGGGTGGCACGCACGGCGCCAGGTGTTTTTTTGAATCTTGATGAGGATCCGAGGGGGTGCTGGATGTAGGTCGAGTCTTGCGTGTGTTCGGTCTTCTTTGGTTTCGGCTGTTCCTGGGGGTTGTACGTGGTCGGACGGTTGTAAGTTGTGGAGGACGCCTAGTGGCGTTTACAGCGTGTGTCGGATGAATG